TCACCATCACGGGCCGGAGAGAATGAGGTACACCCCCTTGGTTCAATCTTGGTACTTCACAACGCAAGCAGAGACAAGGCCATCTGGCACAGAAAAAGAGAGAAAAAGTGAAAAAGAGAAGAAAATAAAAGGAAACAGTAAGGAAAGAGAAAATGAAGTAGCAAGAGCGAGGACAAAAAGAGACCAGGCCGAAAATAACAACAAATAAGAGACAGAAAAAGGCACACGGTGGAGAGACCACTAACGACAAGCAAACACGCAAACATGGCCACCAACCAGCGATACATTGTATCGGTACGTCATCACAAGTGGGGGGTTGGTGCAATGGTGCAGCGTTAGGGGGGGGGGAATTGGCTAAAAGAAATTCAATTCGGCACGTATCGCGCCACTCGGTCCGTCTCTTCTCGTTTGCTTTCTTCCCTCGCCGTCTCGTCCGTGTCCTGCCCCTCTCCCGCCCCATTGGTTGGTGGTTTGTGGTTTCGTTTGAGCGCCCGTTTTCGGCTGGCCTCTTCTTCTTTCTCGTGCCAGGAGGTCATGAACCTCTCAGCTCCCTGCAGCACCGCCGCATGCCAGGGTACTCCCCCCTCTACCTTCTCGGCTTCCGTCCACTTTAACGTCGGTGCTGTGTCTTTCGGTACCGGGATTCCGAAACAACATGGATCGGTTTTCGTAGATCCGCGGTCGGCCCCGAATGCCTTTAGGTCGTCGAGCACACACTTCGGCCAGTTCTGTTCCTGTCCCTCCCTACGTCGCTTCTCCCCTCCTGCCAGTTCGCCNAACTTGAACTTCGGTGCCGTGTCTTTCGGTACCGGGATTCCGAGGCAACATGGATCGGTTTGCGTAGATCCGTGGTCGGCCCCGAATGCCTTCAGGTCGTCGAGCACACATTTCGGCCAGTTCTGCTCCTGTCCCCCCCTGCTTCGCTTCTCCCCGCCTGCCAGTTCGCCGAACATCAGTCGTTTCGGGAGTCGCCCGTCCGGCTGCCTTGCCAATGCTCCCGCGAACAGACCGTACAGCAGTGCCTCCATCGCCTCCGCCTGGAGCAGGCGGATCTTGAGTCGGAGTGGCGCTTGCGGTCTGTCGAAGAACTCGCGGCCATATCGCCTGAGGCACGCCCACGCTCCTCTGCTCCTGTAGTTGATCTCCCGGGTGAGGTCGCCATGTTCGTTGACGAGGCCACCGAGGTACCGGAACTCGGTCGTCTGGGCGTATTTCTGTCCCGCGGCTTCGATGGTCAGTGGTGGAGGCGGGGCGGGCTGTGATGTTGTAGTCGGCTTGTCCTTTGCGCGCATCAGGAGCGTCTCCGTCTTCTTCTCCGACACCGTTAGCCCGAACTCCCCGAACACCTCAACGATGATGGTCATCATTCTCGCCAGTCCTTCTGCAGACCTCGATACGACGCCGGCATCATCGGCATACAGCATCCCCCATACTGCCCTCCGTACTCGGTCAAGGGGTGTCTCCCCCCCCCCCCCCGCTTCCGTCTTCCCCTCCTCCAAGCACACCAGGCTCCGCAGAACAACATCATCCTCGCTGAATCGGATGCCAACGACCTCGAGGACCTCGGCGAAGAAGATGTTGAATAGTAGTGGGGATAGCACACATCCTTGTCGCACGCCCTGTGTCACGAAGAACCAGTCCGATAGTTCTCCGTTGTCCATGCTCACCCGGGCCCGCATTCCATCGTGGAATTGGCGGATGACTTCGATCAGCTTCGCGGGAATCCCGGCCCTGGCCAGCACCTTCCATAGCATCTCTCGGTCCACCGAATCATACGCCTTGTTCCAAGTCGACGAAGCACATATGTAGAGCGGTAATTTCTTTCTCCGCCCCAGCTCCTGGAGGCGGCGCACGACGAACAGCATGTCGACACAACACGTTTCTACCCATCCACGCTCCGCCATGAGCCACCCGCTTTGAGCTCCAACCACAAAGAATCGAGCCACCCGAATTATCGATCAGCTCACACCACTCCTGCGTGCGGCGTCTCCGCGGTTCCTCAGGGTCGTCCGCGTTGCGTCGAGGAGAGCATTGGTAAAGTCGGTCGCCAATTCCGCGGCGGTGGTTGTTCGCTCGGCCAGTTGTGTGTCGAGGTTGAGGAGGAACCGATTAGTCACCGCACACCGTGCTGCTTCAAACTGCAATTCCCGTCGGTTGAATTGCTTCTGTTTCGGTTTAGTCCGGACTGCACGGTTGTGGGCAAGCCTGCCACCGAGGTTGACGGTGGCTACTACCATATTGTGGTCTGAGTCTGCTTTGACTGGGCGAACCGGCTGGGGGATGACGACCACGTTAGATACTCGGCCGTGATGTGCCTGCCTTGTCAGGATGTAGTCAAGGCGCTTGCAATCGTTTCCCGACACACCGTTGTATGTGTGCCATATTCCGCCCTTGCGTGTCTCAAAGAACGTGTTCGTGAGAGCTAGCCTGTTTTCCGTTGCGAAGTTCAACAGTAGCATGCCATTGTCGTTGAGCTCATCACGCCCGTACATTCCTAATACCCTTCCGTCCCTTCCGTCCAACCTATCTCCCGTGCGCGCGTTGGCGTCCAGTAGGACATACATTTTGGAAGGGGTCCTCCGCACGAGACTGTCAAGTTTCCCCCAGACACGTGCTTCCTGTCGGCGGTTGAAGGTTCGGTTAGAGCATACGCGGCTACGAAGTTGACCGCTCCACGGTGGCCTGCCAACAGAAACCTCATGGCCATAAGGCGTTCGTCGATAAACTCCGTAGTGAACGTGGATGTCTTGCACAACCCCGTTTACAGCCAAAGTCCGCACATTCCAGGTTGCTACCCTAAGAAGACCCTGCTGACTCTTTCGCGCGGCGCGCGCTGCTCTCTTAGCTAGCCTATGCGCCGCCCGACCCATCCTTTTCCTCCATCTTCCCCTCTTTTTTTTATTTTTTACTATTTTCTTGCAAACACTCGGGCTAACGTGATAGTTACCGCGGTTCTGGCCTTGTTTTCCATAGAGTTGTCTTCTTGTCCCGGAGCGGTGTGGCCCTCCATCTCTGGACTCTCTCCTTTCCTCTCTCTGGGGCATACCCCCACGGCGTGCGGCCACTCCGCCACCCTCACCGTGCTCTCTGCTGCTGCATAGCCCCGGTGTCCAAGCCGGGGCGTCAGGATCCAGTCTCATTTTGCAGCTACCAAAGCTGGCGGCTCAGGAGCTACCCCGATCTCACGACAGCAGTAACTCCCAACCGCCAAACTCAGGATCCCCCTCTAAACAGTGCTAGGGACCGTAGATCCGTCGTTGCTGGCTGGTCTTTCGAGGTCTAGATCCACTTGCGGAACCTCGACCTACCCCAGGGACGGGGGGGGCAGGCCGGGGAGGAGGATCACAAGGTGGAACCGTGTCTATTTCCTGAAGCACAAATCAGACGCCGCTGAGGCATTCGAGAGGTACCTTGCAGAAAACCGGGCAGACGGTGCCCCGTCCGATGTCATGGTCGTGAGATCCGACAATGCAGGAGAGTTTTTTTAGGGAGAGTTCGGCAAGGTTTGCCGGAAGTACTGCATCAAACAGGAGTTCACCCCCACACACAGCCCAGATACAACGGTGTAGCTGAGAGAGCACTGGGTCTGATCAAGGATGCAGCACTAGCCGCCCGTATCCAAGCGCCAACTCTTTACCCCGGAGCACCGAACTACCCCTCCCTTTGGGCCGAGGCCATAGCTTGGGCATGCAACGCCCTGAACTGCACCTTCACCACATCCAACCCAGAGAAGAAATCGCCGTACGAGATGTTGTACGGGCACCCTCCCCCGCCGGGGGCGACGTACCCGTTCCTCAAACCTGCCGTGTACAAGGTCAAGAGCACACACAAGTCCGAGCCGAAAGCCCAAACGTGTGTTTACCTCGGCCCGGGAATCAACACCAAACGTGATTGCGTGCGCATCTTGAACGAAAAATGCCAAGCGATCGCAACTCGCAACTTCACCTGGCAATCCGTACCCGCCGTCCCCGCCGTCCTGCCTCAGTCGTTGCCTCCCATCAAAAAGGAGGAAGAGGAATTCGCGACTGAGGAGGACGAGGTTGGGGAGGGCGCGTCGAGTCAAGGTGGAGGGAGGGCGGAGGGAGAACCTGTGGATGGAGGACCAGGTTTCAACCTTGGCACGACGGCAGCCCCAGGGCCCGCGGGGCCGCCCGCGCCCGTAGCACCGGCGGCGCGGCCAGCCGCGCCCCAGGAGTCGGGCGCGGGCGACGCTGGCGATGGCGACCCCTCGAGCAGGGAGGGCGCGCGCGTCGCCCCAACTACCACGTCGCCGGCACGGCCGATATGGGCGGCGGCGAGGACGACCGCCGCAGCAGCGGCGGCGGCGGCGGCGGCGGCGGCGGCGACAGCAGCAGCCGCGGTAGCTGCGGCAGCGGCAGCGACAGCAGCAGCGGCGGCAGCAGCGGCGATGACGGCGGCAGCGACAGCAGCAGTGGCAGCGACAGCGAGACGGATCTCCCGGCGCTCCGTGGGCCAGAGGCCCGGCGGCTCGCCCGCTTCGACAAGCCGGCGGAACTCACCAGCCGCCGCACTAGGGAGAACCCTCGCCGAAATCCGAGGTACGAGTCGCCCCCGTCGCCGACAAGTGCCGAAGCCCTGCTCGCCTCGGTGGCGAGCCTTCCCGTCAGCAACACGGAGGAATTCACCCGCTGGATGCTCTCGGCAGTACTTCACGTGGCGGAGGGGCTAGAGGCGAGGGTGGTGCGAGAGTTGCTGTCCGAGCGCGCGCAGGAGGCCCACGCTGCGCGCCAAGAGGCGGAGGATTTCCTGCTGGGTACGGTGGACCTCATGCCCAACTCGCCAGACGCCTTCGAGACGGCTCTGGCGTCCCACGAGCTAAGTGAATCCCCTATAGGCAAGCGTCCGAGTGATGTAGAAGCCCCACCCATGACTGTAGCCGGCGTTGCCAAGTCTGTTTACCGAGAGGGGTGGGAACAGGCCATGAGGGAAGAGTTTGAAGGGCACTTGGGCACGGGGACGTTTTCATTTGTACACGGTGCGCCAGAGGGGCGCAGGCAGGCCTGTAAGCTCAACGTGGTGTTTTAGTTGGAAGACCAACAAGGAAGGGAAGATAGTCAAGTTCAAAGCGCGTCTGGTTGCTAAGGGGTTTCCGCAAATCCCGAACGTCGATTATTTCATTCGTCTTCCTCTTGCCCCTCATCCGCATCCATTATGCTGATGCTTGCGGTAGCAAACGAGAAGGGCATGAACCTCAACCACTGGGATGTGAAGCAAGCGTATACACATGCCACGCTAGACGAGGAGGTTTTCTGAGGCTCCCCGCTCGGTGCGGGGACAAATCGCATAAAATTGCTGAGGCTGAGCGTGCGATTTGCGGTCTGAAGCAGAGCGGTAGGCAGTGGGGGTACCACGCTGCTGATACGCTAGTCGAGAACGGGTTCGAGCAATGCAAGGCGGACCCGTGTGTTTTCCGCAAGATGGTAGACGAAGTCGTGGTGATGATTATCGTGATTTATGCGGATGACATTTTGGTGGCTGGGTCTGACGAGGATTGCGAGGAGTTGCTTGCTTCTCTCAACAAGAAATTTCCCACCAAAAACCTTGGAGAGTGTCAATGGTTTGATGGGTGTGCCATCGAGAGAGATGTAGAGGCTGGGACTCTTAGAATCTCCCAAACCGCGTATATCGACAGCATGGTTGAACGCTTCGATGTGAAATCAACTTCCCGCATCCCCGCTACCCCTGGTGCCGATCTAGGGCCGAAGGGAGAGGATGAGGAGGGAGGGGNCATCGAGAGAGATGTAGAGGCTGGGACTCGTAGAATCTCCCAAACCGCGAATATCGACAGCATGGTAG